GACAGTGTGGGCTCCCTGCTCAGTCTCTGGCAGGTTTTTTCTCCCTTCTTTTAATTAAAAGTTTTTGTCTTTTGAGGTAGCAGTGGAATAAATCACTCCTGATCTTAACATGCTCAGGCCCTCCCTATAGCCGATGCCTACCGTGTGGACCTAGAAGCTTTCCCGATGGGAAATCCACCACTGAGATCGGGGAAATAAGTTCCCCAAATTACTCAGTAAGCAACTGACCAGGGCAAAAGTCATGATGGCCTTTCTTTTTTTAAAAAATTGTTATATGGACCAGGGATTTAGCTCAGAGTTTCCACTGCCTGCCTTGCAAATGCAAGGACCTGAGTTTGATACTGGGTACCAAAAACAAAACAAAATTGTTATACTTTGAAAATTTAAAAACGTACAGAAAAAATCCAAGAAACACTTATTACTCATCATCTAAAATGGACAAGCACTAACGTCATTGTTGGTTAGATTTATAAAACATTGCAGAAAAAAGCAGAGTCTCCTCCAATCTTTCTGAGTTTAAAACATAACCTGGTGACTTCTTGGATCAAAAGTGTGGCACATTATTCTGAAACAACATGCTTTATAAAATAAGGCAGAGGTAATAACATCTGCTTTTAGGTTTTTTCTTCAATAATGAAATTTGAGAAAGTATTTCTCATACCAGAAACTTCTTAATGATTTTTGGTCCCCTTCCCCTTCTCCCTGCCCACGTTGGTCCCTGATGTCATTCTCTGGAAGCCTCTGACATTCTCAACCTTAATAACAAAGATTCTCCACTTAAGGCCATAGCATAAGCCCATGCGTAAGAACCCAGAGCCTAGAATCATACTGCTTGGATTTGAGACTCATTTCTACCCTTTATTTTATGGCTTCGATCAGGTGTGCTATCTTCTCTGTTTAGATGAGCTATTGTGGCATTTTTAAATATGCCACAATTTAATGGTTTCCAACAACCATTTGATTTTTTAAAAAAAAAATTTATTTGTATCAGTACATGTTTGCTGTACATAATGATTATATTCATCATAGGGAGTTGATGCATGTGTATAACTCATTTTAATTCTTTTTTTAAATCCTGTCCATTTGATTTGCATTGAAATTTTATGAGTTGGGATTTAAAAATCAACTGGATAGTACGTCTTGAGTCCATATGGCATCATCTGAGGGGACATGCTATTCACATGCCCAGCTTCTTCAGAAATGTCTTCTTTACTCATGTGCCTGGTACCTCAGCACACCATGGTCTTTATCTGTCTCCAAGTAGCACCTTATACTCCAGGACCTCTCCTCACAGTTTGGATTTCTCACAGGATGACATCTTCTGGGTTGCTGTTTATGCAGCTTCTCAAGGGTTCATGAGAGAAAGTGTTCCGAGAAAGGGTTCTGAAGACTTAGCCTCAAAATTTACAGAGTATCATTTTGGTTCTGTTTATTTGGTTGAGCAAGCCACTAAAATGACCTACATTCAGGGAGAGGGGAATCAGAGTCCTTTTCTCAGGGTGGCAGAAGGGATGACAAAGAATTTGTACCCATGAACCATTGAGGAGTTTCAGTAATAATAGCTTATAAATGACTTCTTGTTTATTTCACGGAAGGAGTTTATAAGAAGAATCAACCATGTTGCCAAAGTTGTTGACTTGGCTAATTCCTTGGGTGGCAGTAAGTTTTGTCCTACATAGGAAACTTAAAATTTAGTTTCTGTTAACTATTGCCTACCATTAACACACACTTGTCTTCTTCATATCTGGGCAGCATGCAGCCATCACAGGAATTTAGACATTGTTCTTTCAGTAACAGGGGACTCTTGAAGCTTGATCAGAGGAGTGACATGAAGCAAGTTGTTCCTTCAGGAATATTGCATGGTTCCTAATCAAGTGAAAGAGAAGACTCATTTGATCTGTTCATGTTTAAGTTTATCCAACAAGCTAACTCAACTGCTTCTTTTACATGGATGAATTGCAGTCTCTTGGTGGAAAAGGTGGTGGAAAATTGTAACCACAGAAGAAAGTGTAAAAATCTCTACTTGTTTCCCAACTAAATGAGAACACAGGCTATGCAAATTCCTAGGGGAGAGTATCTGTCAACTTGATCATTATTATTTGGAAACGCTATTTGTTTATATCACCATCAGCCTAAGGTGGCATTCCAGATGAAGGATGTCTATCATGTTGCCGTGTGTATGCCAGTTTCATCCTTCTGCATTTTTGGCTCAAGTCATTGATCATTGCTTTTTGTGTAGCTCTTGGCTACTACAAATACCCTGTGGACAGTGAGGGCCCTTTTGTGATATTTGATTTTTCTTTTGACTCACATTAGTGCCAAACAGTTCCAGCTTCTTTGCAAAGTAAATGCCCTGCAGAAAAACCCAGTGAAAACCACAAATCATGATGAAATTAACTCAAATAGAACTTGATGTGTAATTTTCCTACTTCTCCATAGCAGTCTTATTCAAGTCTTTTCTTGAACCTTTCCATTCTATGATCTTACAATATATGCAACTGGATATTTAGATCCCATTTGGTGCATTATAGTAGAATATTGCTTTAATAATAATAGTAATATCAACAATAAAAAGCAACAAAATGAATAATTATGCTAACAGCAATGGCCAACTTTAAAGTATACTAGTTATATGCTAAGTTCTGTGGTAAGCATTCTAAGCATGATTATCTCATTTAATCATTATGGTAATCTTGAACAGTAGACTATTTTTATGTCTTTTCTACAGATAAACCTCAGAGAGGCTAAGTAATTTTCTCATGGTCAAACATCTAATAAATTGTGAAGCTAAAATTCATAACTAAATTTTCTAACTTAGTTTCCCTGGTGAGTAGAAATATGCATGTTATTCTACCCAGGAAAGTTTCTTGGACATATTGAGTTTGACCTGAGCTTTGTCTTGTGGATGAAAGATCTGCGGTCTAGACTAGTTTACTTTATCAAGTTCTGTACAGGGTCCTGACATCTTGGTGGATGAAAAATGATAGAAACATATTAGGCAATCAAAATGTAAACGTTTCCACTTAAAGAGCAAGTTGTGGAACACACAGGGGACTCAAGATCCATCACATTGGAATTCAGCAGCAAGGGCAAGAGATCCAGGGTATGGTAATAAGTCGCAGACCAAGGGGATGTCTGAGGAGTGGCGATTTAATTAAAGATAGCGGGATAGGTTTCATCCCCTCCTCTGCTACTGACACAGGCAAGTGGCCAGGGCTCTGGAGGGTGAGTGACAATCAATGTCATTTACTGAGGCTCCAGGGGACATTTGCAGAGATTTCTTGTTTAAACTTTTTCTGCCTAAAATCTTAGACCTTGTTCATGCATTTCTTGGGCCACAGATGCCAGGCAGGAAATGTGAGGAATGTAGCGGGCCAGGTATAGGAACCAGGTAGTGCAACCTGAGAACACATGTGCTTTTGGAGGAGGAACTTACCTTTAGCTCATGATTACGTATCTTTTAAGAGAAGCTGGACTTTAGGATATCTTTGTGATGTCTCCAGACTTTGAAAAACTGGAAAAGGGCTAAGAAAAATGCTTAAGTCCTCTGGTCAGGACATCCCAATATCTGTTGGGCAAATAAATCCCCACTGTTTCCTGTTGGAAATACAGAATTTATTCAAACCCCATTTCTTTGAGGAAATCTTTTATACTGGCCTGCTAAGGTTGCATTAACAAAACACTGCAAACTGCATGGCTTAAAATAACACAAATTTATTTCTTGCAGTTTTGGAAATCAGAATCAAGACAGGGACAAATCCTCCCTTATCTCTTCCGAGATTATGGACGCTTCCCAGTGATCTTTGACATCCTCTAGCTTTCAGATGAAGCACTTTAATCTCTGTTTCCACAGTACATGGAGTTCCGCCCTCCTGTCTCTGTGTAGTGTCCCTTCTATTTTTATAAGGATATATGTCAGGTAGGGTGTAAATGACCTCATTCTTCCTTTTATAACATGTACAGAAACCTCATTTCTGAATTTAGTCCTATTCACAAGAACTGGTAGTTAGGACTGCACCATAACTGTTAGGGTGACACAACTTAACCCGTAACACATCTCCTGACCTCCTTTTCTGTCTCCAGACTAGCTCACATATACTTGCAATCATTTATTAAACTGTGAGATTATTAGTGCTTTCCTTGTCTCTCCCATAGACTGTAAACCGACAAGGCAGGGGCTGTGTTTGTTTGGATAGGCTATCATAACTCAGGCACTGGGGGTGTGGTGCTAGTAATCATGTAGAAAACATTTCTGGAAGGACCCAATGCTGTGCCTGCATTATCGGGATGTTGCCAACTCTTTTAGCCTCGTTGCTTTCTTGTGCACCTTGAGTTGTACCCGTCTTTCCCTCTGCTAGTCTGCCAAATGCCTTGTTAGCTCAGGGTCTTCACACGGTCTGCCTCTTCCATTCGTCATGCTATTTCTTGCTCTCCTTCTGCTCAGCAGGTTTTGTTTATCCTTTAGGTCTTGACTGAAGTGTAATTTCCTCGGAGAAGTTAGCCCCAGACACTTTGGCCTACCAAATTAGGAAATCTTCAATTCTTTTTAAGCACTGTGCTTTCTTATCAAGACTCATGCCAATCTGTAATTGTACGGTTTTTTTTT